TACTAAACCTATAAATATATGCACATAGTGTGCTGATTCTTTAAGCAGCAGAAGAGCATGGGAACTTGAATCCTCCTTGTAGCAGTGATAGTCCATTTGCCCTTTACTACCCCAAAGTAGACTAAACTATTATTCAAGAAGAAGAAAAATGGATAAGAATAAAAATGTTAAAAGAAACTGTCTCTATGTGGGAAAATCAGTTAATCAGGTTTCATTGAGGTATTTGGAAGACCAATCATTCTTCACAGTTTCCATAAAAAATAAGTTGTACTAAAAAAATTGTAGAGACCAAAGAGGAATCAAACTGCAAATTGTTTCCTTCCCCTGTAAATACTCAAACAAGACCAAACTCACTTTCATGGAGTCGATTCCAACTTACAGTGACCCTACAGGACAGAGTAGAACTGACCCTGGGAATTTCTGAGAGTGTAACTTCAATCATGGGAGTAGAAAGCCTCATCTTTCTCCCGTGGAGCAGTTGGTGGTTTCCAACTGCTGACCTCATGGTTAGAAACTCAACTAGTAACCACAAGGCCACTACAGCTCCCCACCCCACCAACATATCCCATTTAAATACAGTATGGTGTTTCTCACAATCCTCAGTTAATGATTTTCTATGCAAATTTCAACCATATTTCCTAATAAATATATTTTATTTGCCCTCTAAATTTAAAAATGATTTTATTATAAAATATTTTGTATATACACAGGTGTATAAATTCTGAAATATTTAAACAATAATAAAATGAATGTTTTATGTTAGATTCTAGTTGAAGATATAGGACAAGTTCCTTAGTTCTACCCAGGAAACATTTTCTGATTCTATGTCCCTTCTCATAATCACCTACTCCCCTTGCTGAGATAGATGAATTCTCCATCTCTGAGGCTTGCTTTAATCTTTTTTAAAATCATTTTATTAGGGGTTCATACAATTCTTATCACAATCTATACATAAATCAATTGTGTAAAGCACATTTGTACATTCATTGCCCTCATCATTCTCAAAACATTTGCTCTCCACTTAAGCCCTTGACATCAGGTCCTCTTTTTTTTTTCCTCCCTCCCTGCTCCCCCTTCCCTCATGAAACTTTGATAATTTGTAAATTATTATTCTGTCATATCTTGTCCTGTCCGACGGCTCCCTTCACCCACTTTTCTGTTGTCCATCCCTCAGGGAGGATGTCACATGTAGATCTTTGTAATTGGTTCCCCTTTCTGTTTGGGGTAGGAAGGGTCCGTTTTTCATTGTTGGTCCTAGGTGCCACCAGTTGTTTCTGACTCTTAATAACCCCGTGCACAACAAAGCAAAACACTGCTAGTTCCTGCACTATCCTCACAATTTTTGTTATATTTGAGTCCATTGTTATAGACACTGAGTTAGTCCATCACTTTAAGAGTATTCCTCTCTTTTTTTCTTTCTTTTCTTGTTACTCTTATACTTTACCAAGAATGATTTACTTTTCCTGGTACTGGTCCTTCTAGATAATACGTCCAAATAATCTGAGACAAAGTCTTGCCATCTTTGCTTCTAAGAAGAAGCATCAAAGCTTCTAAGGACAAGCAAAGCATCTTGTCTCCTTGACAACAGATTTGTTTATTTTCCGGCAGTACATGATACTTTTAATATTTTTCACCAACACTGTAATTCAAATGCAACAAATTTTTTGTGGCTTTACTTACTCATTGTTCAGCTTTCAGGTGCATGCATATGATTTGACTGAAAATAGGATGGCTTGGGTCAGGTGTACTGTAGCCCTAAAAGTGACATCTTTGCCCTCTAATTCTTTAAGGAGGCATTTTGTAGCAGATAAGCCCACTGCAA